GCTCCTTTCTTCTGGGCCGGCAGTGCCCCTGAAACGGACCCCTGGTGAGTCAGAGGACAGAGCCAAAGGCCACGACTCTCATCTACTTTTCCTGACATCCAGCTATGGGAGGATGACCGCGCTGGCCATCCATTTTGATAAAAAGCATTGTACACTCAGCTGGGCAGGGTGGTGCATGACTGTCATCCAGCACTCGGAAGGCTGAAGCAGGAAGATCGCTGCAAGTTTGAGAGCAACTGAGGCTACATAGTGAGCTCAAGGCCAGCCTGAACGGCATGATGAAGCCTGTCTCAGACACACACACACACACACACACACACACACACACACACAAGACAAAACAAAAACGACCCTCTGGGACCTCTCCAGTAGAAGTCCCCTTCCTCACTCTCCTCAGCCTCTGCTTAACCACCCAGCACCCAGGCTGCCCTGTGTGCTGTACCCCCTCCTTGCACACATTCAGGCCTCTGCCCTCAGACTGGCTCCAGGTGGCTCTGGTGGCCCTGACTGACTGCCCCAACTGCCTGGAGTCCACAGGCAGCGTAGGCCCAGACAGTGCCTGGCACTACCCTCTTGCAAGATGGTAATCCTGGCTGACTCCTACTAAATCCTCCTGACTGCCACTGGTTTGAGATTGTTTGATGGCCCCCTGCCATCCCCCACCCCCGGGCACACCCATCCCCCACAGCACAGGGCACCCACTTCCGAGGCACACACTTGGGACCCCAAGGCCAGCAGGACACCACGCCCACAGGCTCCGGTGCACAAACACCAGCACATCCCAGAACCCACAGCCGCAGGCATAGAAATCTTTTTTCAGGCCACCCAGTGTCTCTCCAGAGGGGGCTCTCCTGGAGTACCCCGGGACACTTACTCCGTCTATATGCATCCTAAACCCCCACTTTCCCTGTGGCCTCTGGAACGCCGCACCTGAACACAGTCTGTGTCAGTGTCGGGACTCCCAAGCATAGAAGCAAACTTGCAAACGTAAAGTCCTGGTTCTGTTCACCCTGCCAACTTCTGTACCTCAAATTTCCGCTGTGGATGCTCCATGAACTGACACATGGTCACTGGCCAGACACCCCAGCTGGGCCACCACCCTACTGATGCCTCCTACTGCCTGGCCTAGAGAGTGCCAGTAGGACTTTCCTTACACTGGCAGCATAAAACCCCAGGCACAGCCCAAAGCAGTGAGCAGCCTCTGCTCCCATTGTCACAGGGGGCCATCCTTGCCACCAGCACAGGGCAAAGGTGAAAAGAGGGTTCTAAAATAAACACTTTATGACGCACAATGTTGTCACAGGGGGCCATCCTTGCCACCAGCACAGAGCAAAGATGAAAAGAGGGTTCTAAGATAAACACTTTATGACGCACAATGCCTAAATGTACCAGGGTCTTCTGGCTGCGCGGAGCTTCCGCTGATCTCTGCCTGCCCACATAGCAGACTAGAATGCGTACCCTGGTGTCCCAGCTCCCACAGGCAAGCTGACCCATGTCAGGTGACACCCACAAGCCCCGGCACTCAGGCCCCACCAGTAGGCCTTGGAGTCTCTGTGGGCATGGGGGCGCCAGTTGGAGGGGTGGCTTCCCTGCCACATCCCACCAGCAGCTCTCAGATGTCAGAGGGGTTCAGGAAGATTCCCAGTTCGTCCTGGCCTTACAAAAGGAAGTGGACCCCCTGGCCCTGGCGGCTACAGGAACAAGCCTCAGGAGCCGAGGCAAAGGGTAGCTTCGCTATGGGCTGAGGAAGGGGCTTCTTCCAAACAGGCTGGACATCCTGGCTTCTCCCCGTACTCAAGCCTCCAATCTGTCTTTCTACGGCAATTTTTTGGACCTTGGTAATGAGACTCCTAACAGCTCTGGTCCAAGGACAGGTGCGACCCAAGAAGTCCAGACAGTGTCTACCGCTGGCCGTCTCACCACTGTCCCAAGCTGACCTGCAGCAAGGACCACGGATCACCCCACACCCTGTCATGTCGCCGCCAGCCAGCCCTTTTCCTGCTCATTTTCTTCTGTCTCTCTTTCTGGGGTGCCTGAGCCTCCCCCAGTCACCCTTGAAGAAGTTCTGGGAAACAGCTCCCCACCCCTCTTGTTTTTCTATAACAAAACAGAGGGGGATGTCAGGTCCCTGAACCAGACCCTGCCCAGCCAGGAAAGGAAAGCTCCATGTAGATCTGTCGCTCGAACCCGCAGGAGCCGGGGTTCGGCAGCAAGCCGGCAGCCTACGCACGATGCAGGGCAACCAGCAGAGAGCTGATTCCTTGGAAAAGCCACAAGAGACACACTGTGCCAGCCAGCACCCCCATACCCCACACTGTACTGTCTGTCACCTAGCCTAGACCCCCTGCTCAGAGACCCCGACTTCTGCACCCCCAGCAATGCCCCCTCCCCTCCCCAAACTGCCCTATGAAACCTGCTCTCGCCCCTTGCTCGAAGCCAGTGATCTTTTTGCCCTTGGCCTAGCTGCACTGGGATTGCGATAAACCCTCACATGTCGCTTAAACTCTGCCTGTCTCAGTGGTCTCGACTGTGCCTCGGTTTACCCTCACACCTGGGTTCAATCCCCAGTACAAAAAGAAAAAAAAAAAAGAAGAAAAAGAAAAAGAAAAAAGAAAAATGTATAAGCAGAGATAGGTCCCTGCATGTGTTAGAGTCTGAGATGCCAGATAGCTGGCGGGAAGTTGGTTTTATTTATTTATTTATTTATTTATGTGTGTGTGTGTGTGTGTGTGTGTGTGTGTGTGTGTGGCCAGCTCAGCCCACCAGGGGGCAGGGCTGGCTGGCATGTGGTGCTTGGGTATCGAACCGCGAGCCCCTGTGCTTTGCTAAGCTTGTTCTAAGTAGGTGCTTTAGACCACTGAGCCATCTCACCAGCCCTAGGTTTTGTTTTGTGTGGTCTTGCTTTTGAGATGGGGTCTCATTGTGTTCCCAGGCAGGCCTCAGACCCCTGGGCTCAGTCCATCCTCCTGCCTCAGTCTCCCAAGCAGCCAGGAGGCACCTGTGCACCACTGCGCCTGCCCCAGACAGGCGAGCTTCGACTCCCTCAAGGGCTTAAGGAGACTGGATATGTTTAGTCTCTTCCTGAATCCCTCCTGGGACAGCTCAGGAATTGGCCCAAGGACATCGGGAAGGAAATGTGATGGTGGTTGAGGTCAACATGATGTCACCATTGTCAACCCTAATGAGCACAGGTTGAGGCAGAAAAGCCCCTTTCATTCCATTTTTATTTTTCCAACCTGCCTCATATAATGTGGCCTCCTCACTTGTTTGAGGATGCCTGAAATTTACTTCCTGGTTCTTCACCCACACCAACATTTTTGATGTTTCCATTTCCAAGCCCCACCTGGTCCCCCAAATTCTGGGACTTGCCCTTCTCTATCAAAAACCTACAGTTCTGATTCTGTGCTTCCCACCTATACAAGCCTATAAAAACCCCAGGCCACCTTGAGGGAGGGGCTGGCCAGGCCCACAGTGTGAAATGCAGCTGTTCACTGCCTCCTGATCCTGGGTGTCTCTTGGTGTCTCTGCTCACTGTGACAAGGAAAGCAAAGGCAGGGACTTGAGCAGGACGGGCCTTGGCAAGACAGGCCTTGGGTAGGCAGGCGGGACGGGCCTTGGGTGGGACATGCTCTTCTGCAACCTGCTGGGCGGTAGTATCACACAGGGTGAGGACCACAACCCTGCAAACAATGCTTCTACAGTGGAGTGTGGTGGTACACTCCCACTGTCCCCACACTTGGGAGGCTGGGCAGGAGGGTTGGCAGCTTGAGCTAACTGAATGACTTAGACCCTGCCTCAAAATAAAAACTAAAAGCTGTGTGTGGTGGCGCAAGCCTGCCATCCCAGCACTCACGAAGCTGAGGCAGGAGAATTGCTTGAGCTAACCTGGGTTATATAGTGAGCTCAAGGCCAGCCTGAACTGCACAGTGAGATCCTGTCTCAAAAAGACAAAAAATAAAATAAAAAAATAAATAAATAAATAAATAAATAAAAAATTAAAGGTTAGGGCTAAAGCTCTGCAAAAGTCTAGGCTCAGTCTCTGGTATAAGAAAGAAAGGAAGAAGAAAGAAAGAAAGAAAGAAAGAAAGAAAGAAAGAAAGAAAGAAAGAAAGAGGAAGGAAGAAAAAAAAAGAAAAGAAAAGAGGTGGCACAAGCCTGCAATTCCAGCACTCGGGAGGCTAAGACAGGAGGATCCCTGTGAGTGTGAGGCTAGCTTTGACTATGAAGTCAGATCCTGTCTCAAAAAAAAAAAAAAAAAA